TAAAGGGTCTCAAGGGACAAGGACTTGGGATACATTAGCCAGGTCACTCTTGATGACAACCCAAAGGAAATTCTGCCTTGGGCCCATTTTCTCCTTTACCACCTCCACGCGACACATCTAACTCCGCGTGGACGGTGCTAAGGGCACACGGGGTTGGATGTTGTCGTTTAAAAACGTCTCGATTGGCAAAACAAGACACCAATCAGGACGTCCATCCCGTTTTCCCGAGTTAACATTTCAAGGGATTTTCCGACCAACAGACAGTCTTAGTACAGTTTCCGTTTCAATAGCATACAAATATTAGCAGTTTTCGCCTCTCGCCGTATAAATAGAACTTTAAATCGCGACAAAAGTTTAAGTGTTGAACATTTGGATCGTGTGTGTATTGTGCACTTTTGTGTAATAATGGCCACCAATAAAACAACTGTTTTAACCGTTCAACAACGATTAGACATTTTGAAGGACTTAGAAACTTATTCTATAACAAGTGTCGCGAAAAAATATAATGTGCATCGAGCAACAATTCAGCGAATAGTGCGGAAAGCTCCAGAAATAATGAAATTCGCACAAAAAAGCAAGAAGGAGAGACGTCGGCAAAAAATTAGAAAACCGATGTTTGAAGAATTGGAGGAACAGCTGATTACGTGGTTTGCACAGAGGAGAGCAATGGGAGACATTATCTCAGACGCGCTGTTTTTAGAAAAAGCTGCTGAATTGAAGGAGCAGATGAGTATAAGCAATTTCAAAGCCAGTGCAGGGTGGCTTGCAAAATTCAAAAGACGCCATGAAATTAGATTAGTGCGTATATTCGATGAACAAGGCAGTGCCGATAAACCTGCTGCCGATGAATTTATAAGCTATTTTAATAAATTTTTGGAGGAGGAGAATATAGATTTAGATAATATTTATAATATGGATGAAAGCGGGTTACTATGGAAGGCATTGCCAGCAAAAACTCTTACAAGTAAAAATGAAGTGAGCGTAAGCGGTCAGAAAATTAGAAAAGAGCGAATAACAGTAGGGTTTTGTGCAAATGCAACAGGAACGCATAAGATGATGCCCATAGTAATTAATAAATATAAAAGACCGCGCGCATTGAAGAATGATATGGGAAAACTGCCTGTTGTATTCAAAGCGCAAAGAAATGCATGGATGGACCGTGGATTATTCATCGATTGGTTCGAAAACCATTTTAAAAAGGCCGTCCGCACTTTCCAGTTACAAAAAGGACTATGTGGCAAAGTCTTGTTATTAGTTGATAACTGCTCCAGCCACAAATTTCCAGAAATTTATACTCATGACGAGTATTTTAAAGTTATGTACTTACCACCAAACACGACAGCCTTGATCCAACCGATGGATCAAGGAGTAATCCAAAAAGCAAAAACATATTTCCGGCACAAACTGACACAACATGTCATCCGAAATAACACAGGAATTCAAAATTTTTATGAGAAATACACAATCAAGGATTGCATTCAAATGATTCATGATGCATGGAGTGCTGTTACACAAAACA